CCCGGTTTTTCCCGATTTTTCCCGGTTTTTTTTCCAGGAGTCTGTGGCTGTTGCGGAGCGCTCCGGCCCCGCTACAAGCGCCTGGTGGACAACATCTTCCCTGAGGACCCCGAGGTAACTCCAGGATTCGGGAATGGGACGGGAAAATCCCAGAAATCCCAGAAATCTGGGAATGTTCCAGACCGGAAATCCCGGAAATCTGGGAATGGTCAGTCCCAGAAATCTTGGAAATCTGGGAATGTTCCAGGCTGGAAATCCCAGAAATCTGGGAATGGTCAATCCCAGAAATCCCAGAAATCTGGGAATGTTCCAGGCTGGAAATCCCAGAAATCTGGGAATGGTCAATCCCAGAAATCCCGGAAGTCTGGGAATGTTCCAGACTGGAAATCCCGGAAATTCGGGAATGTTCCAGGCCGGAAATCCCAGAAATCTGGGAATGGTCAGTCCCGGAAATCTGGGAATGTTCCAGACCGGAAATCTCAGAAATTTGGGAATGGTCAATCCCGGAAATTGTGGAAATCTGGGAATGTTCCAGGCCGGAAATCCCGGAAATCTGGGAATGGTCAATCCCAGAAATCCCAGAAGTCTGGGAATGTTCCAGGCTGGAAATCCCAGAAATCCCAGAAATCTGGGAATGGTCAATCCCAGAAATCTTGGAAATCTGGGAATGTTCCAGGCTGGAAATCCCAGAAATCTCAGAAATCTGGGAATGTTCAATCCCAGAAATCTGGGAATGTTCCAGACCGGAAATCTCAGAAATTTGGGAAAGTTCCAGGCTGGAAATCCCAGAAATCTGGGAATGGTCAATCCTGGAAATTGTGGAAATCTGGGAATGTTCCAAGCCAGAAATCCCGGAAATCTGGGAATGTTCAATCCCAGAAATCTGGGAATGTTCCAGGCTGGAAATCCCAGAAATCCTGGAAATCCTGGAGATCTGGGAATGTTCCAGGCCAGAAATCTGGGAAATTTGGGAATGTTCAATCCCAGAAGTCTGGGAATGTTCCAGGCTGGAAATCTCAGAAATCTGGGAATGGTCAATCCCGGAAATCCCAGAAATCTGGGAATGTTCCAGGCTGGGCATGAGCTGGGAAAATCCTAGAAATCTCAGAAATCCTGGAAATTCCAGAAATCTGGGAATGGTCAATCCCAGAAATCCCAGAAGTGTGGGAATGTTCCAGGTGGGAGATCCTGGAAATCCTGGAAATCTGGGAATGTTCAGTCCTGGAAATCCCAAAAATCTGGGAATGTTCCAGGCTGGAAATCTCAGAAATCTGGGAATGGTCAATCCCGGAAATCCCGGAAGTCTGGGAATGTTCCAGACTGGAAAGTCTGGAAATCTGGGAATGAGCTGGGAAAATCCTGGAAATCCCAGAAATCCTGGAAAATCCAGAAATCTGGGAAAGGTCTGTCCCAGAAATCTTGGAAATGTGGGAATGTTCAGGCTGGGAAATCCCAGAAATCCAGGAAATCACGGAAATCTGGGAATGTTCCAGCCTGGAAATTATTATTTATTCTTCCCACCGTCATTCCTGGAGTTTGTTTGTCAATCCCAGTTTTTATTCCCTTTGTTTTCCCCTCATTCCCGCTTTTTGATCCCGCTGTTAATCCCCCATTCATGGTTTTTTATTCCCGGTGTTTTTCCCCCATTCCCAGTTTTTATTCCCGGTGTTTTTCCCCCATTCCCAGTTTTTATTTATTACTTATTTTANATCCCATTTTTTATTGGAATGATCCCATTTTTTTAAACGGAATTGTGTCAATTTTTTTCACGGAATCATCTCTCACTTTTCCAAGCTTTTCCCGTGGAATTCCAGGCTGGGGAAAATTCGGGAATTCTCTCCCTGAATCCCTGGGGGTTTTCTGGGATTTCCCTGGGGGTTCCGGGGCCGTTCCCAATCCTGATATTTCCCGATTTTCCCCGATTTTTCCCAGTTTTTCCAATTTTTCCCAATTTCCCCCCATTTCCCCCCGATTTTACCCGGTTTTCCCCGATTTTTCCCGATTTTTCCCGGTTTTTTCCCGATTTTTCCCCATTTTCCCCCATTTTTTCCCAATTTTTCCCAATTTTCCCCGATTTTCCCCGTTTTTTTCCCTTTCCCCCCCCGGTTTTCCCCGATTTTTCCCATTTTCTTTCCCGGGTTTTCCCGATTTTTTTCCAATTTTTCCCCGTTTTTTCTTCCCGATTTTTCCCGATTTTCTCATTTTTTATTCCCGATTTTTCCCGATTTTCCCCATTTTTCTTCCCGATTTTCCCCGTTTTTCTCTCGATTTTTCCCGATTTTTCCCGTTTTTTTTCCCGATTTTCCCCATTTTTCTTCCCGATTTTCCCCATTTTTCTTCCCGATTTTTCCCAGTTTTTCCCGATTTTTCCCGGTTTTTTTTTCCCGATTTTCCCCGTTTTTCTTCCCGATTTTCCCCGTTTTTCTTCCCGATTTTCCCCATTTTTCTTCCCGATTTTTCCCGATTTTTCCCGTTTTTTTTCCAGGAGTCTGTGGCTGTTGCGGAGCGCTCCGGCCCCGCTACAAGCGCCTGGTGGACAACATCTTCCCTGAGGACCCCGAGGTAACTCCAGGATTCGGGAATGGGACGGGAAAATCCCGGAAACCCCGGAAATCTGGGAATGGTCCAGGCTGGAAATCCCAGAAATCTGGGAATGGTCAATCCCAGAAATCCCAGAAGTCTGGGAATGTTCCAGGCTGGAAATCCCAGAAATCTCAGAAATCTGGGAATGTTCAATCCCGGAAATCTGGGAATGTTCCAGACCGGAAATCTCAGAAATTTGGGAAAGTTCCAGGCTGGAAATCCCAGAAATCCCAGAAATCTGGGAATGGTCAATCCCAGAAATTGTGGAAATCTGGGAATGTTCCAGGCCGGAAATCCTGGAAATCCTGAACATCTGGGAATGCTCAATCCTGGAAATCCTGAACATCTGGGAATGCTCAATCCTGGAAATCCCAGAAATCTGGGAATGGTCAATCCCAGAAATCTCGGAAATCTGGGAAAGTTCCATCCTGGAAATCTGGGAATGAGCTGGGAAAATCCCAGAAATCTCAGAAATCCTGGAAATTCCAGAAATCTGGGAATGGTCAATCCCGGAAATCCCAGAAATTTGGGAATGTTCCAACCTAGAAATCCCAGAAATCCTGGAAATCCTGGAGATCTGGGAATGTTCAATCCCAGAAATCTGGGAATGTTCAGTCCCAGAAATCTTGGAAATCTGGGAATGTTCAATCCCAGAAAACGCAGAAATCTGGGAATGGTCAATCCCAGAAATCCCAGAAATTTGGGAATGTTCCAACCTGGAAATCCCAGAAATCCTGGAAATCCTGGAGATCTGGGAATGTTCAATCCCGGAAATCTGGGAATGGTCAGTCCCAGAAATCTTGGAAATCTGGGAATGTTCCAACCCAAAAATCCCAGAAATCCCAGAAATCCCAGAAATCCTGGAGATCTGGGAATGTTTCAGGCTGGAAATCCTAAAAATCTGGGAATATTCCAGGCTGGGAATCTCAGAAATCTGGGAATGTTCAATCCCAGAAATCCCGGACATCTGGGAATGTTCCAGCCTGGAAATCTCAGAAATCCCAGAAATCTGGGAATGTTCCTGGCTGGAAATCCTGGAAATCTGGGAATGAGCTGGGAAAAATCCCAGAAATCTCAGAAATCTGGGAATGTTGAATCCCGGAAATTATTATTTACTCTTCCCGCCGTTATCCCCGCCGTCATTCCCGGTGTTTGTTTGACATTGCCGGATTTTAATCCCGGAGTTTTTCCGTCATTCCCAGTTTTTATTCCCATCGTTTTTCCCTCATTCCTGGTTTTTATTCCCGGTGTGTTTGTCATTCCCGGTGGTTGTTTGCTATTCCCGGTTTTTATTCCCGTCGTTTTTCCCTCATTCCTGGTTTTTATTCCCGGTGTTCATCCCCCATTCCCGGTTTTCATTCCTGTCGTTCATTCCCCCATTCCCGTTGTGTTTCCATTCCTGCTTTTCGTTCCCCATTCCCGTTGTGTTTTCATTCCTGATTTTTGTCCCCCATTCCCGATTTTCATTCCCAGTTTTCATTCCCAGTTTTTGTCCCCCATTCCCGGTTTTCATTCCCGTTGTGTTTTCATTCCCGGCTGTGTTTTCATTCCCGTTTTCCGTCCCCCATTCCCGTTTTTTGTCCCCTGTTCCCGGTTTCTGTCCCCCATTCCCGTTGTGTTGTCATTCCCGTGGTGTTTTCATTCCCCATTCCCGTCTTTTGTCCCCCATTCCCGGCTGTGTTTTCATTCTCCATTCCCGTTGTCATTCCCCATTCCCATTGTGTTTTCATTCCCCATTCCCGTTTTTTGTTCCCCGTTCCCGGCTGTGTTGTCATTCCCGTTGTCATTCCCCGTTCCCGTTGTGTTTTCATTCCCCATTCCCGTTTTTTGTCCCCCATTCCCGTTTTCATTCCCCATTCCTGTTGTGTTTTCATTCCCCGTTCCCGGCTGTGTTTTCATTCCCGTTGTGTTGTCATTCCCCATTCCCGGCTGTGTTGTCATTCCTGTTTTCATTCCCCATTCCCGTTTTTTGTCCCCCCGTTCCCGGCTGTGTTGTCATTCCCAGCTGTGTTTTCATTCCCCGTTCCCAGCTGTGTTGTCATTCCCGTTTTTTGTCCCCCATTCCCGGCTGTGTTGTCATTCCCGTTGTGTTTTCATTCCCCGTTCCCGGCTGTGTTGTCATTCCCGTTGTCGTTCCCCGTTCCCGGCTGTGTTGTCATTCCCGTTTTTTGTTCCCCGTTCCCAGCTGTGTTGTCATTCCCCATTCCCGTTTTTTGTCCCCCCATTCCCGGCTGTGTTGTCATTCCCATGGTGTTGTCATTCCCCGTTCCCGGCTGTGTTGTCATTCCCGTGGTGTTTTCATTCCCCATTCCCTTTGTCATTCCCCATTCCCGGCTGTGTTGTCATTCCCGTTGTCATTCCCCATTCCCGTTTTTTGTCTCCCCATTCCCGGCTGTGTTGTCATTCCCATTGTCATTCCCCGTTCCCGGCTGTGTTGTCATTCCCGTTGTGTTGTCATTCCCCATTCCCAGCTGTGTTGTCATTCCCGTTTTTTGTCCCCCCATCTCGGCTGTGTTGTCATTCCCCGTTCCCGGCTGTGTTTTCATTCCCGTTGTCATTCCCCATTCCCGTTGTGTTTTCATTCCCCATTCCCGTTTTTTGTCCCCCCGTTCCTGGCTGTGTTGTCATTCCCGTTGTGTTTTCATTCCCCATTCCTGGCTGTGTTGTCATTCCCGTTTTTTGTCCCCCCGTTCCCGTGGTGTTGTCATTCCCTGTTCCCGGCTGTGTTGTCATTCCCGTTTTTTGTCCCCCCATCCCGGCTGTGTTTTCATTCCCGTGGAGATTTCATTCCCCATTCCCGGCTGTGTTTTCATTCCCGGCTGTGTTGTCATTCCCGTTTTTTGTCCCCCATTCCCGGCTGTGTTTTCATTCCCCATTCCCGTTTTCATTCCCCATTCCCTTTGTCATTCCCCATTCCCAGCTGTGTTGTCATTCCTGTTGTCATTCCCCATTCCCATTTTTTGTCCCCCCATCCCGGCTGTGTTGTCATTCCCGTTCTCATTCCCCGTTCCCGGCTGTGTTGTCATTCCTGTTGTCATTCCCCATTCCCGTTGTCATTCCCCGTTCCCGGCTGTGTTGTCATTCCCGTTTTTTGTCCCCCCGATCCCGGCTGTGTTGTCATTCCCGTTGTCATTCCCCATTCCTGGCCGTGTTTTCATTCCCGGCTGTGTTTTCATTCCCCATTCCCGTTTTCATTCCCCATTCCCGTTTTTTGTCCCCCCATTCCTGGCTGTGTTGTCATTCCCGGCTGTGTTTTCATTCCCCATTCCCATTGTCATTCCCCGTTCCTGGCTGTGTTGTCATTCCCGTTTTTTGTCCCCCATTCCCGTTGTGTTGTCATTCCCCATTCCCGGCTGTGTTGTCATTCCCGTTGTCATTCCCCATTCCCGTTTTTTGTCCCCCATTCCCAGCTGTGTTGTCATTCCCGTTGTCATTCCCGTGGTGTTGTCATTCCCCGTTCCCGGC